AGGAATGCCTGCCATGTAGGCAGGAGAGGCTCTCTGGAATGAGGGCTCTTATGAACAAAGTGACCTAAAACACTCACTACCACTCTCTGCCTTGTTCACAGAAGATCAAATCTTTTAACCTATGCAAGAAAGGTTTTTCAGCCAGGATAAGGTAACAAATGCACTATACATTACCCAAAATAAAGTTATACTGTGCCAGCTGAGCATTTCTGATCTTCTTGTTCAGTGTGCACCCAGGATCTACATCAACGTCTGCCATTAATCCAGCGTTGTGGAAGTGCTGCCTGACCTAGGAGAAAAAGTACTTAAGTTGTCACTACAAGATATTCATGACAATGGACTATTTATGACTTGTAGACTTAAGCCAGTCAAGCTTATCTGACCCCTAAAACAAAGGCACCGTCATTGGCTCAGGCATGGGAGGTGAGCCCAGTTCAAGAAATGAGAACAGGTCAGCTATCATGCAAGTACATACACACTAAATAACACAGCGGTGATGTGAACATAAAATGTTTTGGGCTGAACAGTGGTTTGAGTTTGATATTGCGAGAGGCAGCAGGATGCTGAAGGTTTCTGATTATATTTTTTTATTATTTTGCAGACTATTTTATTTTTGTCTAATGTGCTTGAAAGAAATACAGGAGAAGGTCTGCTGGATGCTAAATACGCAAAGACCCATCTTCATCTTTCTTACTGCTTTTGCAAGATGCACATGGCCATGGGAGACTAGAACCTGAAGGGTAAGACAGCTTTTGAGCTAGAGAGAAAACCTAAGTTTTCCAAAAATAGAAGTGTCACAAAGATCAGCATTTGTTGTTTAGATACCCAAAATCTGTTTCAGGTCCTCTTTGAGATACATCTACAACATCAGCAGCTAATTGTCATTGCAATGACAATGATATAATGCAATATGCAAAGACTTGTAACATTTATCTGGGACAAATACTACTAATACTTAACAACCAAGTACCTCAGCTAAATAAAATATACCGAAAAAAGTACCCCAAAATCACATACGTCACCTTTTGAGCGTACTCATCACATGTTGGTCCCACTGGTACCACCATTACTTGCTGTGGGGACAGCCAGAGCGGCCTTCAATAAACAAACAGAACAAGTTTATACAGCTTTCAGTATTTTTTTTGGCATGAAAAATCCCCTGAACAGATAGGACTAAAATCTACAGAAGAGATTCATAAAGCCAGTGACTTACATTGGGACCAGAGGTGATGACAGCCCTGTATTAGTCACAATTTACCTCCCCAAAAGAACTGAGTGTCTAGAAGAATTGCAGTGTGGACAAAAGTACTTTTTAACCTGAAGATTCAAGTTGTGTTTTACAACAGACAACAAGTCATAATTAACTTGTGGAGCTTATTACTAACTAATCATGGGAAAACATTTACTTTTGAATCTTGTTATAATCAGTGGGGTCATCCCCATCAGGTATTACACTGCAGCAGGCAAAGGAGATGACCTACATAAATGACCTGTTGCAAGGCAGCCCAGCTGCAAAAGCAAAGTTGAGAGATACACACGTTGGGCAGACAAGGTGTATGCTGCACCTGTATGAGTGGGGTCATGTAGGGGCTACCATAACTAGAACAGCTTAATATATAAAAGATGGTTCAGAAGGAATTGCCCTATGGTACACCTACGGCACGTAGATCTCTGTAGCAAGCAAGTAGAATAAACCCTCCTGATTCTTGCACGCCTGGGGCTAATTTCTCTTCCACATTAAGTGTTTGCTTGAACTGAAATTAAAAAAAAAATATCTGTTTTTCAACATTACCATTTGCCTCCATAGTTCTCCGTTAGAATGGCGATCATTCTCTCCACAGATCCCAAGATAGCCCGGTGAATGATAACCGGTCTTGTCTTGTCATTACCATCATGGCTGTGAAGAAAGGTGGGGTTTTTTTTTAATGTAAGTTTTTTTCCTGATGTAAACTTATGCCTGTAAGTGACAGGAAAGTTAGATTATATAGCAAGTAAACCCACCAGCCTCTGTGCTTACCTGACAAAGGTGAGGTTAAATCTGACTGGCAGCTGGAAGTCAAGCTGGATTGTAGCACATTGGTGGTAGCGGCCAATGGCATCTTTAATCTGAATGTCAATCTTTGAGGAAAAAAAAAAGACAAACTTTTACCAGTTTAAGATACAAGCATGCCCCGCTGAAAGCAAACTCATTGTTTTAAGATGGAAGGTTTCACTCAGCACAGAGGAACTGTGGTTTATATTTATCTATAAATACACGTGGTTTATATTTATCTATAAGAACAAAAAAATATTTCTATAAATATATGTAACTATGTATTCAGCATACTTTTACTTCGGCCTACATTAGGACTTAAATGACTTGCAGGGTCTGATGGAAAAAATATTAAGAGCTAAAAAGAAGGTGAGCAAAGAGAGAGACATTATTTCAGGGGGAAACTACATGTAATACCTCGGCCTATTTTTTGTGAGTTTCTGTCTGGGACTTTCACAGATCTCACCAATAATGAGATTTCTTAAACCTCAAACTGGCAAACTTGCAGTCCTGTATTATGCAGTATTTGAATACTCTGCAGCTTGTGTTACAAATTCGGCGCACAAACATGGGGTGAGAATCCTGCTGCTAAATAGTCCACTTACCAGTAGGGTCATGTTAATCAACGACACTTGTTCTGCGATGAGTATCAACAGTCAAGCCTACTCTTTCTATTGCAACTTACACTTTCATCCTGAGTACACTTAGGGTACAAGTTAGACAGAGAGATGGACAGAAAACAGCAGATTTGTAGTGTCCTGACCTTATTTATTTATCACATTGTTCTCTTATTCATCATTTTACGAGTATGGCTGTATGTTGGGGCTGTGTGCCTTATTTTAATTTATGTATCAAACAAACAGACCGGTGTTTTATTAACTGAAGTTCTAAATGTCTTTCAATTTCGCATTCAGAAGCCAGAGTTTATCATAGTTCAGCTACTCACCAAAGAGCTTCTACCAACATACATTATTTACAACCTTCTTTAATTTCAAATCACCCAGTTATAGAGTAGGAAAAAAAACAAAACAAAACACAAGTAGTTTAAAGGTACCCTAATGTAGAGCTTAACTTAACAATTTAGTTTAACTGGTTTCCATTAAAACCAGCGCAAAATGCTACATGTTTGCTCACCTTACTTTAGCTACAGTACACCAGGAGCAAGTATAAGGTTAATTTAGATTAACAAAGGTTCCTGGAGATATTTGCCTTTTCATATCATCCCAGGAAATTACTGAATCTGGTTTGCATTTCACATTACAAATGATTAGCTGCTATAAACACATTTCACCTACAACTCATAAAATGAAATTGATTCAATTAGCATACAAAGAGAGAAATCACAGCCAGTTTACTAGATGGCTGAATATAGACGTAAGTGCAGTGTAGGTTTATTAGGGTTTTTTAGGGAAAGATTTACAAGTAATTTTCTAAGTCTCTCTGTCCTTATGCTCAAAAATACCAGAAATTTCTAAAAAGCTCTACTTAATCGGTGCAAAATAAAGAGACAGCTTTAAAAAACCCCAATAACACCAGAAAACCAATGCAAGAGGCTTTTTAAGATACCAAAACCCACCAGAAACTCAATGCAGCTACAAAAACTGTGCCAGTAAAAGCAACATTTTTCAAAAATTTGTTTTACTAATAAGTTTTAGTTTTTCTCATGACTTAGGATTCCCTTATCACCGACAGGATTACTCGAAATGCAGCAACTGCTGTGGTAATACAGATCTTACAGTGCCACCTTCTGTTCATGTCTCCCACTAAACCAATCAGCTCTGCTTAAGCAGCAAATAGTTTATATGTGTAAACCGAGTTTAATCAATTAAATTAGTGTTAAAGCTATGTGAAAACCAGGATCACAGAGTATTATTTCTCTCTCAAGTATGTCAGAGCTTATGTATCTGGAAAACCACAAAATTTCAGCCATACAGCACCTTACAATAGTGTTAGTAACTATAAAAAAAAAAATCCCCTCTTCCTAATCCCAGCTCTTAACAATCTCAGCTTGTTCCAGGTCATCACTTTAAGAACCAGTTTTGTTCTATAGCCTCCAGCCAAACCTAAAGATCACCAATGTTTTAGAAACACATACTGACATTGAAAAATTTAGTTCTAACATTACATTGGAAGGGAATCTGCAGGACATTAAGTGAAAAATAAAAATTGTCTTTACCAAGAAGATAATGAATAAACCCCAAGAGCTTCACCATACTATTTTCTCCCCCTTGCTCACAATAACATATGAAGAACATTATTTATGTATTAACAGCATTTAGTGTCCACCTGTATTTGTTTAATTAACTTAGAGCAGAATGTTAACTAGATGGAGACTTTGTCTTGGTCAGGTATCTATTTGAAGTCATCCAGCAAACATTCTGCATAAATGGATGCCCAACACTTGTCCTTCTGGGGAAAGCAACATTTAGCATCATTTTGTAAACACATGAAGGCTTTAGGTGTTTTCTGCTCATCCGCTATACTGAAAAGAACAGTATTTGCATGCTACCCCTACTGCCAAGATTACGGTAGAATCAATGGAAAGCAAGGAATTGTACAACTTTCAATCTGCTTCATCCAAACAATTAAAAGCCTAACGCAGCTAGGGGTTAGCAACGTACTAACCTTGGGTCCGTAGAAAGCTCCATCGCCAGGGTTTAACTCCCACTTCTCACCAAAGTCATTGAGGCTGTTTTCAAGTTGCTAGAGATAAACGACACATATGCTCAGTGTTTCTCAATCATTTGCCATCTTTCCATGTTACAGCACGAGGTCAGCCTGCTGCTACAGACCTGTGACACTACCAGTTCTCAGTACTCTCACTTACTGCTGCAACTCATTTTCTGAAAAAGGAAAGTTTTGGAAGAGCCCCAGCTAAAAAAAAAAAAAAAGTTCAAATTTAAACAAACAAAATCAATGCATTCATTTTGGAAGAGGCCAAATAAGCACCCTTAGCTAAGGTGCAAGAATTTTTTATGCCAGATTCAAAGTCTGTAGATAATATTGAGAGGGGATCCACCCTGATACACCTAATGTCTATTCCTGTCTTCTCTCCAGCACTGCACCTGCAGGGGCTAACTCTATCCCTTTAATCATGAAAGCAACCTTCCTTTCAGAAGATGGCTGTAAGTCTTATTACAGGAGTTGCCAGAATTAGTCCTCTTCCTCCTTTTTTTTTTTTTTTAATTATCAAAAAAAAGTAAAAGGAGAGAGAGGGAGAGAGAGGTAATTTGATTCTGACATGGAGATTGCTGCTGTATGAAGAGTAAGCTATTTACAGCAGCCAGAGTGAATTGAAGACAGTTATTAAATGTACACTGTTCATGTCCAGCTGTCACTGTGCCTCCCAGAAGGCAGTATGTTTTTACAGGACTTCCAGCTGCAGCCTTTTTTTCATATAAAAGGTTAATAAAACTACTATTTACCTTTTCAGCTTGATTCCACACTTCAATATCTCCCAGGTACTTTTCAGGACGAGTGGAGAGATTCAGTTTAAAGGAAAATCCAAATACATCATACACAGTACGCAAGAACTGCAGACAACTCTTTATCTCCTCTTCAATCTTTATAAGAATAGAAAGAAAGTCTCAAATATGCAAAATTCAGTTAATCTGACTTTAATATCAAATTTCATGTAACAGCAGCCCATACCTGCTCCATAGCACAGAATATGTGAGCATCATCCTGCTGGAACCGACGTACTCGAGTGAGTCCCGTAAGAGCTCCTGACAGTTCATTACGATGCAGAACACCAAAATCAGCCAACCGCAATGGCAGCTCACGCCATGATCTTGGGCGATGATCAAACATAAGGCTGAAGGAAAAGTTTATTACTTGAAGCTCATCCAGAATCAAAGTTCTGCAAAGAACAGCCAATGAGAAGCAGCCACTACCTAAGCAGATGCCCATAATGCCAATGACGTAATCAGAATACAATCATCATTCACATCTAGTTTTGCCAGGAAAACAAATACAGATATCCTTTTATAGCAGGCAGGCTTCCCCCGCCTCACAGAGAGAAGATAGAACAGCTCCTAAATCTGAGCATTAACACCTGAATGCCTAAATCGCCACAAAACTGACAATGCCCCAGTATCTATTTTGGATATCCAGGTTTTGTAGCACCAAGGTAAGCTTCAGGTCTAAACCACAGTCACTCTAATGATGGAAAAATTACATTTTTCAATGTCTCAAGTAAAGAGAGAACACAGACCACAGGACTCTTAATTACATCACTCCTGACAGCGTGTCACATCTGGATACCTGATGATAGCCATCTTTGCAATTAAGCAGGCACACAAAACAGGATTATGATTATTTTTTTTTTTTTTATTCAGCATCATCTTTGGTAAACTGGATTTGCTATGTATTTACCAGTGTCCTGGACAGTTCATAGGCTTCAGAGCAAAGACTTCTTTCTCCACTTCAAAGGAAAACATGTTGTCACTGTAATGCTGCCAGTGCCCTGAAGTCATCCATAGTTTGCTGTTGAAAACATTTGGAGTGACAACCTCCTGGAATCCACGTTTTCGATATTCACTCTAAAACAGATCAAATACATAATATAACTAACAGAGCAAACAGAAGTAATGGTACTCAGCCTTCAATCTGCAGCCATAAAAATATACAAATACTGCCCTACAAAAGTCCATGACTGGATAACAGAAGAGAAAGAGGAGAGAAAAGGAACAGGAGAGAAAAATTCAAGTTGGACACACCAGGATACATCCCTTCCACCAACACCACCCTTCCCCCATACATTTCCTCTGTAGTAAGCAAGAAGAACAAGTTTCCTCCCTGCAATCAAAGCAGTAGTTTCTAATTATTCAATGACACTTGGTAGTACATTGCAGCCCAAATATACAATAATAAGACAGACTTTAAATATTACAACAGGAAGATCAGGATTTTTTTTTCCTACACATAATTTTATAACAAATAGTTCCACAAGGCCAAATTCAATAAGTTTATGAAAACAAATCAATATGCATCAGTGGAACAGCTGTAGTATGAGCTTAGCTGTACTATTAGATGTCAAAGAACTCATATTATAAAGCATATATAAAACATCACTACTTTAACTGCGGGTATAAAGTATTGATAAAAACATAACTTAGCAGAGATTGTGACAAGACCAATTCAAAGAAACCAGGCTTCTTTAGTTCCGTGGCTTACAGAATTGAGATTAAACTAACTTGAAATGAAGGGCTGTTAATACTGTTATATGTAGCATGCTGTTATGTATTTTTTCTAAAATTAAGCAATTTCTTCTAGAAGATTTCCAAAAGACATTACTTACCCGAATGAATTCAATTAATGTGTTATAAATGTAAGCTCCTTTTGGCAAGAAAAAACAGCTACCAGGGCTGAGCTCATGAAAGAAAAACAGTTCTTGGTCCTGCAGAAAAATATTTGAAAAACTTAGTATTTGTACACCACCTTTTTCACTTAACATTCACAAATTAATAACTACTGAGTTGGCATCACTAATCAAAGTTTTAAAAAAACTAAAAAAATAGCAATACCAATAGATCAGATGCATTTTCAGTATTGTTCATACCTCCATCCTTACTTAGAGGGGAAGGCAATTGTTCAGTTTCCTGTTTCATGACTGATGCTCCAAAACTTCATGTTTACGTGTAACTCCTGTGCCCCCACAGCTCCCTTTGTACACTGACAAGTAACATTTAGTTCTGCTTCTGCAGCGAATTGTTTGCACGTGAACTGAATGTGTGAACTGTACTTGGCTAATGTGACAAACTGTGCACATGCTTGAGGACTCTGTACAGTGAATTCTTCTGTATATTTTTCTGATGTCCTAGCAGCAGACCTTGTAACAGTGGTCAGGACTATCAATAGTCTGACAGGGGTTTACGTCTAAAAAATGAAACCAAAAACCAACCAACGAAAAGACCATAGAAATGTATTAGGGATTCTGAAATCACACACAAGAAAAAGAACTGTGAGCCAACACATGGCAGCAAACTCTAAGAACAAGCACTGCCTGCAGACTGAAGCGTTCAAGTTTTGCAGACCAAAGTATCCATGTTCTGTTCTGATTGATCTGTGGAATAACGACATCATTGTGTTTGAAACGGTGAGAAGTCTAAAGAGAAGTTATTCGCTTTAGGACTTCTGATGCTCTTTGAGAGAAAAGCACCTGACTTTACAAATCAACTGAAAATAAAATTGTGTCACATCTTAGTCGTGGCAGCAAGTACATGCTGTCTCTGAGATGATCCTAGTTAAGGGGTTAGATCCACACAGTGTTTGTGAAACACATTACCAGAAAAACTGTCTCACCCGCCCAATTTTTCTGTGATCTCTGCTTTTAGCCTCCTCCTGGAATTTCTCCCATTCCTTCAGCATTTTTGCATCTGGGAACGAAATGCCATAGATCCGCTGAAGGGATTCCATATCAGCCTTTCCTTCCCAATAGGTAGAAGAATTCTGCATGCAAAAAAGAAATGAAACCATGAAGAAAAGGAGGAGCCTCCATGTTTTACTACTACTGCCTGCTATGAAAAGTCATGCAATTATTAAGAAATCACTATACTTAATGTAGAACAACTAAGGCATAAGAAAGTTTTAATCTTAAATTCAGATCACTGATTAGCAAAATCCAGAAAGAACAGGTGAACAGAATATGTAAAAATTATTTCAAGCTTGCTCTTGTCTTTTTTTAAGCCCGTTTGCTCTCTTTGTAGCCATCCTATTCCAACTGTTTATTCACACTCGGCTATAATCATCAGCTGAGCACCAAACAGAAACTCCAAATGATACAGTTCAAGCAAGATTTAGGCTACACTCATGCTCCTAACCACGCTGGAAGCATAGGTCCTGACCACCTAGTTGGGCTTCGCACCATTTAAATACAATTCTAGCACACAACCCTGTCCCAGTTTGTTACACTGAGTTTTTGGCCAGGTCACCCATTTCACGGTACATTCTTGGATAAGCCACTATTGTACTGCCCCAAGACAGCAACACGTTTTCAGCGAAAACATTTGTCTAAGGCAGCTTCAGCACTTACCTTATGAATTTTTATGGTCTTTATCTTGCCAGTATGTCTGACATGAGGCCCTCTGCATAAATCTATCAAGGGACCACACCTAAGAATAGGAAAACATTCATTTGGTGTATTTCATCCTAGAAAGTTATATCCAGTAATATTATGATGCATGTCTAATTACCTGTATACTGTTGTAGTTGGAGTATTGACCTTCTCATTCAGGATGCGACACTTGAATTTATTATACTGAGAAGAAAAGCAACACACATATTCATTCACTCCTTGCTAAACAAGAGAACTGGCCAGCAGTTTAAATTACCTGCAAACCTAATGCTACGCTGCATCAAAACAAGATTATAAAAGACAGACAGACAGTCAAGTAGTGGAGTAAGCTGTCCAGAGAGCACGTTGTGCAGTCTCTGTCCTTACAGGTTTTGAAGGCCCAACTGGACATGCCCTGGCCTGACTTCAGTGTTCCACCCATGCCCTGTGCATGAGACTGGACTGGAGGCCTTCAGAGGGACCTTCCAACCTTAATGACACTGTGATACTCCTGATGTCATAACAGCGAAAACATGAATGCCAGAAAATTATTCACAGCTAGGTATTAAAGAGAAAGGATCTGCTTTTACTGATGCTTGGACTTTCTCAGAAGTCCTTATTCTAAAAAGTGTTTTATGAAGCTTTCTGAATGCACCAGTACATGCAGTTATAGTTATCACTGCAGAATTTTACTAACAGACAATATAATACAGACATATAACATAACTGCACATAATATACTGAAAATTCACATCTGTGGGAAATGGATGAAGAACATGGCTTCAAGGATTCTGCCAAGGTCACCAAGAGGAAGAATAAGAACACTTACAGTTGCAGAAAACCTAATGCACATTCCTGAGAACTTAAGAATTACACATTCGCTCATTTTTTTGTTAAGTATCACCAATAAGAACATATCACTTAAAAAAGTTAATTTGATAGACCTTCCTCTACCACTGACAGAACACATAGCTGAAGTTAGAAATATTTTAACTGCACGATGCTAGAAACAACCTTCTAAAACAGCCTACCTTAAACATTTCAAGCAGTGTTTCCTTCTTAACTTCCAGTCTTTCAAAGGCTTGTTTTTCCTTCATTATCTTTTTGCATAACATTTCCAAAGCAGAGAAATCATTACTTGATACACCACTAAAATAAACACACAGAAGAAAGCGAATCATTCTTGCTTTCACTTGCAATTTCTAATCCAGCGGCAATGCACTAGCTCATGGATGGGGCACACCACAAAGAACAATGCAATCTGCAGTAGTGCAGATGACTTTTTTCCAGGAACAAGCAAGTATCAGAAATTTTGCTGTGACTGCCATCTCCTCACTCTTAAAAGCAAAAATACAAGACCTACCCTTCCTCAAGGAACATGTCATAATAAAATCCATTTTCTATTGGTGGGCCATAGCACAAACAGCCACCATAGATTCGCTCCATAGCTTCACCCATTATGTGAGCACTTGAGTGCCAGTATACCTAATGGAAGTAAAGAAAAGAGGGGATCAGTTTGAATACACACAATGCATTTCTGAGTATTTTATTTAAAACCTTTTCTAAAACAAGGATGCTTGATGCAGATCCCAAATTACAGAGTCTCCGGAACAGAAGTGACCTGCCCAGCAACACTCTCACCCTAAGCGCCAGTATTTCCAAAAGGTAACATTGGAAAATTGTTTACAGCCTGGTACCAAGTAATTGTTATTTTCAAGTATTGTTGAAATGATTCAATTATTGTCAAGCAGGCAGAAATGAGTTCAGGAACTTTTTTTTTTTCTTCTATAAACTTCCACCATTCAGCTCTGCATAAGGACCAAAAGGTGTACTGTCCACATAAAGTTATGGTCCTAATCCAAAGATTTTATGCATAGGAAGTCCTGAACTGAAGTAGTGCAGTTCATAAAGTTAAAATTTACACTCCATCTTCTAGTACACCTGAGGTTTTGACAAATTAAAACCAAATCTATAGGACTTCAGTCTGCTTTTATTTGCATGGACCAGAAAACAAATCTCACAGGAGCCATCATTCAGCCAATATGAAACCCTAAGTCTGAATGCAAGACCTCTGTGATGAGTTTGACTGACAGCTTCTTGTACCACATGATTTTTTCTAAAGAGAGAATTTACAAATTTATTGGATATCCACATTTATCTGAATAAGCAGCCAAAATAAAGTGTGTGCTTTTGCGTGTACAAAGCAAAAGAGCAGCCTACTCTTGACTGTACACAAGACAGTACTTTCGTACTCAATACTGTTTTCAAAGTCAGTGCTGAGAAGCGAGTTCAAAAGACCTAGTTTACATTAACATGAAGGCTGCAAATATAAAATTCTAACAAGAAGACACTTGACATGAAATACAGCAGCTGCTAGCAGACTTGGCTACAAATACACAGCAGAAGTTTTATTAGCTGCAGTACCGCATGTCCCTTGTAAGGAACTACCAGAAAATGCAGATGTACCTACATAGCAAACCTGTTCCCAGCTCCTCAGCTTTTGAACAGAGTAAAGATGCAAATAACTACTTGAGGCTGAGTTCAATGCAAATCCAACAGCAAACAAGTTTTGGTAGAAGATACTCACTGCTTGAGCCTCTTCATCATCAAACTTAAGCAGCTCCAGGGTACAATCCTCCTCCAAAGGACGGTCTAGATCCCAAACCATCTTGTTCACTTTAGCAATAACAGTGTTGTCAGCTAAGCCCTGACTACAGAATAAATACATGGTATATAATCTTTTGAAATCAGCAAGCAGAAGTTCCCCAAATTTGCCCTTCATGTTCAGTAAGATTTCCAGGAGTGCTCATAAATTCCAAATAAAAGAGCAGTTTAGCCAGTTTTGAACAGTCATGAAAATCCTACTCACACCTCAGTGATGAGGGACAAAAACTGTGCTTGACTGTATACTCGACACTCATACATTCATCAACATATTTAACTTAGAGGCAGCCACCTCAAAGTACTAAGCTGACTTCAAAATCCTACTGCAATAAAAGACAGAGCTTCTATTTTAAAAATCATGAAATAGCATTTCTGATGTAGTAACTCTACAGTTTTGCTTCTACTAGGTAAAAAACCCTTTCCTCGACCCCAAATCACAAAGCAAAGAAGGTTCCAATGACAAAGCACCTAAGCATGAAAAAAATGGCATTTCACCTCCAGGAATCAGCCAGTTTTTGTCATTTTAAGTGTCAGGCTGTCCAGTGTGCATTGTTCAAACCTACTCCACAGCAAGTCTGAGTAACTCAGAGATGTGCAATGCTCTTTTGGATGGGTATCTCCCATGCAAGCAAAAATGCAGTTAAGTGAAAGATACTCGTACTGTTAACTCTCTCTGAAATCAACTGGAACACCACCCAGCAGTCATCTTTTACAGATCAATGCAAACTGTTTTGCATGTGGTAACGTTCAAACTGATATGAGTAAATTTATTCGCAAATCAGTTCTTAATGCAACAACAGTTCTTGCAGGGAAAAACATGTCAGTACTGTCTGTCTAAAGGATCTCAATCATATTCTTCTTTAATTTCAGAAACTGTATCTTCATAAGGCAAAAAAATTGCACTTCAAAACTAAAACCCTGTTGGTTACCTCCAGTTTATTATATACAAGATGACTTGAGAAGAGTTGAGATAAATGACTGCGAGGTTATATGTTATTCATACCCTCACAGGCACAACCTGCAGACACAGAGCTATCCGAAAATGATTTGACTGTACCACAAAATAGAATCTTACCTAATTCCACAAGCGATTTGATAAGGAGTAGTCTTCCAAGATTCAGCATCAACCTGCTTGCCATCGGGTAAGGTAACTTTAATGGGTTTACTGTCATTTGCAGCTCTTTCTGCAAGGAGTGCATCATGTTCAGCTTTAAGTTTATTGTACATCTCTAAACGCTCATTAATAAATGCAGGCCAGGGATTCAGCTATATATAATAAAGACAAATGAAAAAATCAACAGATTATTAATCTAATATCACATTATGTCAAGAACATAAACAGAATGGATATACTTTTCACAAGCAGCTATGTGACCATATCTACATAAGTGCTATATCTAACAAATTGTCATTATTATTACAGATTAATTAAATAGTATTAATTATATAGTAAAGTTGTAAGACTTCAGCTTAATGATAATTATTACTTTGAAATGTACCACTGTATACCTGTTTAATAAACTGCATATATGTTAATAAGCTAGTACATAGTTTATTAAACACCTGTTTAATAAGCCACACAAGGACAAAAATACATTTGAAATTACTGTAGAAGTTCAACATAGAAATATTCTTTTTTATTAGGTCAAAGAAGTGAGGGAACACCTCTACCCTGAGCCACGCGGACAGGAACTGACTCCAGCCTATACCTCACGTAATGACGTCAGGAGTCTTGGGCATACCCACGGTTATACAGCTATGCAGCTGGCTCAGGATTAGTGCGGGCTAGCAGCTGGCCTTCTCTGTGCAGTCAGAGGGATCTGTGATTGCCCACTATGAACACGGAAAAGGCGGAGCACCTTACACAGGCTTTCCTCACCCCTGAGATCCACTACCTACCTCCTAGTGCAAACGGGCACAGTGAAAAGCATAACCAAGCAGCAACTATGGAAATCGGAGCTGCTCTCCCATTACACCAATACAACTTGTGTAAAAAGCAACAAAGTCACCTCATCACAAACTTTGGGAAATAAAAGATAGTGGGAAAAGGGTAACGCCAGATAAAATACTTGAGCAGGATGAACTGCAGCAATACCAGCAGTAGATAACAACCAGGCGACCGTATCTTTCAACCCCCCTCCGTGGCCCAAGGGCCGCTCACCTCTGTCCGCCCTCCATCGCTGACCCCTTCCTTCATTTTCTTCTTTCCGCAGTCTGCTTTTTTTTCTTCCCCAGCATGTACCTGAGGAAGGCGAGCACCATTTCTTCATTCACCAGCAGCCGCTCACACCTACGGTGCTCTAACCCTCCTTAGCCCCACACACCAAAGAGACCCGACCTCTTCGCCCCGGGAAACCCCAGCCCACCTCGCTTCTCTTTCATCATCAGGTGAATCCCACCGCCTTTCCACCCGGCTCCCCCAGAGCTGGGGAAACCCCCTTCGACCCGCTACAAGGGTGGGGGGGAAGAGGCCTAGCTCCCTCCTGCCACCAGCACTGCTCCTCCTGACAGGGCTGCCCCCCTCCAGGCCTGACGCGGGACCAAGGGGA